TCGGTGTTTTCTTTGTTTTCTTCTACAGTTATGTATGACTGGGCATCGTCATCGTCTGTTTCCATATCGGTGACATGTGATTGCTTTTGTTTTTTTGTGCTGTTATTAGTAATATTGGATCGGGAGTAAGGAGTTTTGCGGGAACTTGCTTTTTTTGTTTCGGAATTTGTGTCTGAGGATTTGCTGGGTATGCCGACAGGGGTGAACTGATTAGTGTTTTCTTGAGTGGAAGTAAGACCTATTAGATCTGTTAGACGATTAAGAGTGGATGTGGGAGAGTTAGTAGTAGTGTTTTTTTTGTTAGTTTTTGACATTTTTATTAAGATGATAAGTTATGAATAGAAAAGAAGAGAAGAAAGAAAGAATAAATGAATTTGAACGGGATGATAGAAAGAATTTTTGAAGTTTTAGAATTTTTATGTTTTTTGTATATTTTTATTTTTTTATATTATGTATAAAGAAAATCGAAAAAAGAAAAAAGAAAAGTATGTGTTTTGACGTTTCAAATAAAAGCTTGGCTTGCAAAGAATTCGTTGCTATAGAAAAATGAGTGTAACTTCTTTTTAGAACTTTGGATTTGGAGGTTTCTTGCCCTTGGAGAATTGTGGCTCTGCCCGGTCAAGAGATCGACAGGGGAGAGATGCAAAAAAGAAGTTTTTTTTATAATAATAAATTTATTTATAATAACAATTAAAAATAATATAATAATATTAAAAATTATTAATAAATTTTAATATTATTATATTATTTTCGATTGCAATTATAAATTAGATTATTAATTTCAAAATATTATATAAAATATTAAATTATTAAAATAAACTGAAATGAAATTTAATATTTTATAAAATCAAATAATTTAATTCAAATAAAATAAATTAAGTATAGTTAATTTTTTAAATATAATTTTCGTAATCAATTTTAAATTATATAGTGACAATCAAAAATAATGCAATAATGTCAAAATTTATTAATTAAACATAGTAAATGTGAATTTTTCTCTTTATATAATAGTTTTTAATTTTACTAATAAATATTTTTTATTTTTATATTAAAATAAAGATAATATTATATTTTTAACATATATTTTTTTTTGGATTTTTTTTATATGTTTTAATTATAAAAAATTAATTGATTTTATATACAATTAGAACAGATTTATCAGATTAAATCTAAAAAATCTGAAAAAAATATATGTTCAAATATATAATATTATCTCCATTTTAATATAAAACTAAAAAATATTTATTAATAAAATTGAAAACTTTTATATAAAGAAAAAAATTTGTATTTTACTATATTTAATTAATAAATTTTAATATTATTGCATTATTTCTAATTGTCACTATATATTTAGAGAAAATTATAATCAAAAATTAATCAGTAATATTTATTTATAATTTGATTTACATATACTCAAATAATATTTATTATTGATATAAACTAATTATATTATATATAGTGATTACAAAATTATATTTGTTTTTAAAATATTATATAAACTAATAAATTTTATTTTTTATATATTTTAATTTTAAAATCTGGATTTTTTTGTTTTTCAGATTTTTTTCTAATTTTAAATGTTTTTATAAATAAAAAAAATTCAATTTTCTTTTAATTTTAAAATAAAATAAAATAAATCTAAAAATAAAAATAAAAAATTCAATTTTAAACTCAAAATTTCAGAAAATTTCTGCAAAGTTTTATAAAATTAAAATCACAATTATTTAGTCTTACAAGTGTATATCATGCAATAATTTTGAAGCTGCAAATTTTAATAATCAATCTAACAAATCAAAGCTCTTTGTTTTCTTGTAATTTATGACATAATTATTTTAACCAAGAAAAATATAATTCTGTAATTTTAATCAGAATTATTAGTATATAATCTTATATAGACAAATTTTATTCCGACCAAAAGTAAGTGCAAAAATAAGATTGAACATAATAAACTTTTTCAGTTTTATTTCAATATACAAAAAAGCTTTTGGAAAAACAACTTTCATTAGTTGGTAGCTTGAGATTTAAATATTTCAGCTAAAACTTCCGGGGTTAAGTGACGCGCACTATTCAATGATTTTTTGAGTTGAACGATAATTATGAACTAGTTTATTATTTTTTGGTCATGAATTAGCAAGCATAGAATATACAGATATATATCTCGGAGACAATTTTTATTAGGTAATTAAAGTTTTAGTTTTATTTATATTGAAAAATCACACAAATACACTATAAACAGTGTTGGACAGTGACCTCAAATAACCTCAAGTGACCTACTAAATGACCTTAATTTAATATTAACATTTAGTGACCCGTGACCAAAAGTCACTTGTTAAATAGAAAATGACCTAATTTTGCCCATTACTGCTACAAACATACGTATATGTAATGATAAAGCCTGTAAATACCGATTCGCTGTATTAAATTTATTCTAAAAATTTTGTGGATTATGTATAATAGGAAGAATTCAGTTAGAATAAAATATGTATTAGCTTGCAGCTACAATGAAACCTCTCTGAATGCACTCCCTAGGAACCATATCATTAATCAGACATAATAGGAAGGGTGCGCATTTATAAGAGTAGATACTTAAAGATCTTATAAGCTTGGGGCTGAACCAGAATGAGGTTTCACTGTATACAAATGATAAAAAAAGCTTTGTATAGTAAATTATTTGACCGGAGTTTTAATTGAAATACGTAATTTTTTTTTAAAAAATGAATTATTATAAAACAAGTTCAATTTATTCCATTAACTGGCAAAAAAATCTTAATGATTAAATGGTTTGTGATTTTCAAAGAATTGAATTAATCAAATTAATATCGGCAGTATCATATGAAAAAAACCAATAAATTATTTCATGATCAGGCACATTGTTTTTATGTTGATTGAGTAAATCATTTTCATGCGATTTTCATTAAAATGAATGCTGTATACGAGTGAAATATCTTTTTAAGCAATCGGAATAACGATAAATTTGCTTACGATATACTTTGCACTACTATCAGTCGTAATTGTTTGACGTGAGGTAATTGTATTAAGACTCTAAATTCGAGTCAATCCTATCCGTTCCTTACTCATATTCAAAACTTTGATGCATGCGGTGTGTTAGTAATAAATAGGAAGTTACTCGGTAGAAAGTTATGCTCGCACTATTTTTTGCTTGCTAATTTAGATCGATGTGTGTAATTATAATAAAGCAAAAAAATACCGCTCGACGAACTATCTGAGACCATTAGTTATTATCTATAATAGTACAACTCGTTAAATAATCCTTTGTTCTGATCGTCTGCGAAGAAATCTTTGCCATTGCTTTTTCATATAGAATATTTGTTTTTTCTTTTTGATTATATATGTAAAACGATATTGTAGCATACGTATTTTTTGTTTGTAAACAATGGCAAACTATTCTTTTCCAGTTATTCTTTATATTTTCTTAGGAATTATATCTAGCATTCTATTATCCTCTCTTTTAATCATAATATTAAGATCAAAACCATCTTTTGGCAAATGGACATTTTTTCAACTTTGTCTATGTGGGCTAATGCTAAATATTACTGGACTACCGGCAATACTAAAATATGGAAATTCACTACCAGATCATACTGATAGTTCAACGTGTATATTACAGTATAATATTGGGATTTTTTTCTATTTTCAATATCTAATATTACCAGCTGTACTGGAATTTTATCTATGGTGGGCTTTATTCAACAAGGATAATAAAATTGAAGAAAAATGCTTAATTCCGATGTCATTAACGGTTTGGATATTGGGTTTTGGTTTTCAAATGATTCGGTTATTTCAAAGGCGAAATGAACAGAACTGGGGTCTTGTTGCGAATCGATTATTTTGTAAACCAAGCCCATCAAATATTGAATTTTATGGTTGGCTAATTCTGCAAATTATCATAGTGATTAGTATGGGTCTATTAGCAAGTAAGTGAACAATTATTATTTTTTTCCATTTATATTTTCGTCGTTAATTTGTTGATAAAACATTAATAACTTTTATTGTTTTTTTTTTGTAAAGTACATTCAACAATATTATTATTTTCTAATTGGCGACAATATTCTCGAAAACAAAGTCGGGGTAACGCAATGAAATTCGAGCAAACAATTCGACTTTGCACTTCGAGCTTTTTGTATGCGACATTCATTTTCAGCATTATCATATTTGAAAATAATGAAACTGATTTAAATAAAATAACGGGATCACAATTTATGATTGGTGCCAGCGGCATCTGTATTTTCCTGATGTTTGCGTTAACAAGATCAGCTGCTCAGATTTTTCCGTGTTGCTACTATGCCTCTTTAGGCTCGCACAAATCGAACGTAAAAACGAACATTAAATATTATAGTCCGACAGTCGACAAAGATAGTGATTCTTTTCGCCCACCGACAACAAATTTTGGAGAACACTACTACGAATTACATTCAATAGATAGTCGACTTAATAATATAAACCGTGACTTCATTAGCAAGCCGAAAGAAAGTTACTCGGTCAAAAATATAATAGATAAAGATAGATCGGAATTTGATAATTATATTGAAAACTCGCTAAAGAATTTCAGTAGAAGCGAAATCAGTAACAAGAACAACAACAATAACGACAATAACAATAATGATAACGACAATAACGACAATAACAATAGCAATTCAAATAAGGGCAATTCACACGACATTACGATTAATTGTAATCAGAATCAGAACCAAAATGAAAGTAGTGGTCATGATAGTGTTCTCAGATTCATTTCTGCATACGAGTATGATTTGAAGCTGTCAACAATAGTTGCTCCTTCAACTAGTAATGTCTAGAGATTCTTGGATAGTTATGTCAGGGGGTTGTCATTGGACTTGGGCTGGTCTAAACTGGACTTATAAAATTTACAAGTCCAGTGGTATAATGGCGCAGTATGGGAAGTCCAGAGTTATGTATATTAGTAAACAACAATGTTTTATTAAATAAATTATCTTTAATATTTAATAGCGATAGATAGCAATAGTATCAGGCTAGCCTGTCAAAATATCTTTTAGTTACGGGCTCGCTTTAGTATAAAAAAAGTATTTAACACAGAGATTCAAATTATTATGGTTTTTTTGACATCTCGAAAAAAAAACAGCTTAGATTATAGATATATTTAATTATGCTTTTTCAAAGCGAACACTTAAATTAAATTTGAGTATATTTAAAGAATTAATAATTATAATTTAATAAAGTTCTGATTACAGGTCGGATTGGTAAAACATTCTTCTGTAAATATCGTTATAACGAGATAATTAATTTATGATAAAAATCGTGATCGAGTTTTGATATTTCTTTGGTGACATTCAAGAGTTTAGATTGCAAAGCTTTGGGAACGTTGGTGTAATTTAAAGCACGAATTAGAATACAATCTTATAGAAAGAAGTTTCGATTCTAAACAACATTCACCCATAAATGTTTAGCAAGTTTGCAGCCAAACTTTAAATTTAATTAAAAATTTCTTTTGTTTCATACAAGTTTGAGCAAGTATAGTGCTTGTTCAATGAAAAGATGCATAATTATATACGTACGTAGCCAGACGTTTCCCTGCCTAATTTCGGAAAGTGCATTTGGACAACTAGCGTGATCAATTCAACACCAGTTAAAAGGAAAGGAATTCTATTATCAAGATAGAAAAATTGAAACAAAGGCAAATTTCATGAAGATGAATTATTATCGGTATTATTGCGTGAACCAAATAAAACATTCTTTTTCACAATCGGGATAAAACGAGAATTACAGCTATATAAAAGGATGTGCGAGACTTCCATGATAATGTATCACATCCCCCCGTTAATTCCAAAAAATGACGTTAAATATATAGAATTAACCATCTTTTTTCAGATTCACCAAGAATTTTTCCCCTTTTTACAAATTCAAAATAGGCTGTACTTTTTCTTCCATGTTGCTATTACATGTATAAGCCCCTTGATTCTGTCCGCGTGCGAGTACCAATCGTCGAAAGCAAGCCACCACCTCTCGATAGTAGTGTCGTGTTCATGAATTTATTATGGTGGCTTATTAATTTCTATTCTCTAATCTCATTGGTCCATTTCAGATTTTATCACCCACATTTATTGATGGTCATGCACAGAATTCTAATAGTTCCACGAATCACATATATATATTAATATAACGATAAATACTTGTCAACTCATCCCCGAAGATAAACCAAATCGGATCTCGCGCGTGAGTCAAGATAAATGAAATGTATACATGTACTATATATCAGATCTCGCGTGGCTTAAATTCATGCACAATTGTATCGCATCATCTATGACCATTCAATCTATTATTCAATGGAAGATTAGTTGTTTGATTTATGCACAAACTGAACTGTCATCACTGAAACCGTCCCAGATTGGCATTTCGTACGTTCGTAATTTACAAAAGGTTCTTTAGAATCCAACTATTAATGAATTTTATTTATTATTTTGCCGTTGACGTTAAACACAAAGATTTTATACGAATTAAAATTAACAGCACGTTCTATTTACGATATAATAAATAAGGGTGTCATGTTATATATCGATATATATATATATATATACTATATAATATTTACATAATACGTACTCTGCGTATACTTTTTATTCTACACATGACGTAAATGTGTACATATTAATAAACTTCAATCACTTCAAAAACCGCAGTGCCATCCAACAAATTCGGTTCAAATTGACTACTATCACTACTAAATGACCCAATATCTGCTACACTGGATTCTGCCGACATATTATTCAAGAGAACTTTTTCACTAGTGACCGACATGAACGTGGGCTCTTGCTCTTTATTTTCTTTGATTATTATTAAATCCATTGAAGGTTGTTGTTGTTGTTTTTCGGCAGCTTCTATCGTCTCGTCATTTGTGGGATTGTACGGATAACTGTCGCTGTTGAATGAATCCTCATTCAATGGTCGTTTTACGTTTGGTGGCAAGTAATAACAACACGGAAGGAAAATTGCTGCTGTGCTTGTCGTACCAAATACCAGGAATAATAATATCCCGCTGATAAAAAAAATGAAAATTTAGTTTTTGAATAAAAAAAGAAAACGAAAACGAAAATTTACCCAATACTTGTAGTATAATCTGCAGGTGTAATATTATTGACAAAAGTCCCATTTAACTTGGTTACGATCGAGGGAATCAGAGCACTCAATAAAACAGAAACGTAAAGAAAACTCGAAAGACTGAGTCTAACTGCTTGTCCTAATTTAATCGCATTACGTCTATTTTGACGACGCGAAAATTTTCGCCAGTGAAAGAATAAAACAAAACCTGCCTGACCTAAAATTCATATAAGAAACAATTAATGCATCTAATCTTTACAACTTAGAACAGCCAATTCCGTTAATATAGTGAGCGACCACTTACATGAAAAAAAAGCAGCTATCGTGGTCATTAACATTGAAGGAACTAGCCAAGCGAGCCAACTAGCCTCTGTTACAATAGCTGAACAATTAAAACGCCTCGCTACTACACCCCAATGTTCTTCGTTTCTCAGCAAAATTATCCTCACAATATTATTTCCGAATGCATAAAACCACAAAGCTCCCGAGACATAACGCAAACATTTTTTCTCTATTTCCGTGTCATTTCTTATTAGAGCCCACCAAAGATAGAATGATAAAACAGCCGGGAATATTTGGAATTGCGAAAAGAAGAATCCGGAAATTTTCTGTTGTATAATACATAGTGGGGTCTCAAAAGCGCGGTCTTGTAAGTCGTTCCCGTATACTAGAACTGCTGGTAGGTTCGCGAGATTCTCGATTAGAGAGCATAATGTTAATTGAAACAATGTCCATTTCCCAAAATATGACTTGGATTTTAGGATTATTATTAAGAGGGACGAGGTAAGAAGAATGCACGTAGATGTTAGAAATATAAAGACAATTGTTGGTGGAGAATATTCTGGCATTTCGACGATTAATGATACAATATTTTATTTTCTATCTTGTCTTTGTTCTTTGATAAATTAAAAAGAGAGATGTCTGTTTAAAGGTTTCTTGTTGTTAAATACAAATAGGAAGGAAAAAAAGATAACATGGAAAGTTATTTTTTGAGTCAATGTTCTAAAAGAGTGTCATTTTTTATTATTAATATGATTATTTTTGATTTTGAGGAGCTTAAATTTCTTAGATATTCTATTTATATATTATCGTAATTAATACTGCGCTAGATTTATTTGATCCACGCCCGCTCTTGCTTATTTATTTATTTATCATTATATTGATTCTACTCTATCGATATTAAACAATTGTGGTGTTAGTAAAATACTCCTATTTTATTATAGTACGAGACAATTACATGTACAATTTCTGCAGAATCAAATTAATTCAATCGAGAATCGAGAAACAAAAAAGATCCGGTTTTTAAAATATGAAATACAAAAAGATCATAGAATTTCACAAATAGGAGTCATTTTACCGAAAAAGGCCTTGGAATTTTTAATGCGATTTTCAGAGTATTACTATTCATAATCATAATAAATATTTTGTCAATTTAATCTTACGTAATATTAACCATAATCTCCGTCATAAATATGTTTTTAATATACATGAAACAGCAAAAATAGATATACCCAATTAACTTGAAACAAAAATAAATTAATAAATTGTTTGTTTGTTACGTACGTAGTGTATTTGCCACGTGAGGATTATGTTATTTTGTGGCGTTGTGATATACATGGTTGTTTCCATAACGAGATACCATTGTGTGGCTGACTAACTGATCTCATACAAACGAGTCGTTCAAATTCTTTCAGGTAAATGAAGCAAAAAGGTCGTTTTGGCAATTCTCAAATTGGCAAATGAACATTATAAAGAATATCGAAAAGAAATGTTAAAAATTGTGCGATATACATATTCAAATACGTCGACGTCTTCGCCAAATACAAACTCTCATTGTTGATTCTACAATAACCGAAATACGTACAATGATTGAATTCCCTATTTTAAGCTGTTTTGCATCTGCACGATAATAATAATACAGATACATTGAACTTTGGAAAACATAGGTCATTGATTCCGTTTGTTAGCTATAATGAGGAGATTTTAGTTCTCGTTCCATTTGAATTGATCCATTTTTACCGAAATTCCCATTTTTGATTTTCATAATACGTATATCCACACAGTGCATGTATGCCTTTAAAGAATCAGATTATGGTATCGCATTAATTAAAATACATATTGATTCATTAACAGAGGACTATGAAATCCATCCTGCATGTAATATAATAAATAATAACAACAACAACGAACCTGAGATTTATTACATGTTCTATTACAATTGATATGCGTTAAAGAGATAGCAATAGTTTACATGAATCTCAAATCTGAACCGGTATGGTGCATAAAATCTAAAGTCATCAAACATTTGTATTTTATAAAATGTATAAACTTCTTTACTAAGAAGTAAATAAAAATTTAATCCGTGAACATGTTCAGAAAGGGACTATTCTTTCATATTCACGGATTAAATTTTGTATTTACTTCTTAGTAAAAAAGTTTATACATTTTATAAAATACAAATGTTTGATGACTTTAGATTTTATACACCATAATAGTTTCATTTGAATCGGACCACTGAATATTGTATCAAAAGTGATTAATTTCATTGTATTGTGGCATTAAAGTTTGACGAACATATAATGTAAAAGTTTACCGGCCAGCCTATAAAAGGCATAATTTATATAGTTCTTTATGCGTGAAAAATTAGGGACGGTCGGATACTTATGACGGCTACTGTAACTATCGTTACAACAGTGACTCACACATGTAACGGAACACGAAAATTAACTTTCTAGAATTTTTATTTCCATGACTATTAGTTCGAACA